CTATAGAATTACTTCGGTATTGGGCAATGGAGCATACCGGCTTGAAGATAATGAGGGCCAAGCATTGCCAAGACCCTGGAACACTTGTAATTTGAAATTTTTCTATCATTAGATGTTCCTTGTTATTTTTTTTTATTTTTTTGCCGATGTCATTAATAAAATCTTAGCAGCATTCTCAAAGACTTGTGAATTGATAAAAGATGCATAATGTTGTTTCTAAATAATGAGAATCCAAGTGGAACTCAGGTTCACATTAGGTGCAGAGAGAAGACACAAATACTTAACGTTTGTTAAAATTTGTAGCAATTTACAAGTTGAAGTTAAGCCGAGATTATTGTTTATCTTCACTTGTTGAAATTTGTAGCAATTTACAAGTTGAAGTTAAACCGAAGTAATACTTAACGTTTGTTGAAATTTGTAGCAATTTACAAGTTGAAGTTTAATCGAAGTAATGCTTGACGCTTGTTGAAATTTGTAGCAATTTACAAAGTTAAAGTTAAGCCGAGATCATTGTTTATCTTCACTTGTTAAAATTTGTAGCAATTTACAAGTTGAAGTAATACTTAACACTTGTTGACATTTGTGGACAATTTACAAGCTAAGTTAAAGTAGTATGATGTTCAACACTTGATAAGTTTACAAGAAGTTTTTCTATCTGAGGTGTGTCTCCCCGAGAAGATTGTACAAAGAAGGAAAAATGTGTGAAAGACATATTCTAAGTATAGAATCATGTAGAAGCAATGAAGAGAAGACAAGAGTACAAGCACTTAGAAAAGAAAAGTTGCATTAGCATTCATCAAGAAAAGGGCACATCGGCCATACAAAAGGCTTATATTGTTCCAAAAGATAAAGAAGAAACAAAATACAATTAAACAAAAGAAAAACATGAAGCTAAGACTCCTCTCCACCAGTTGGTTGAATTTGAAGATCAGATGATTGTTGAGAAGACATCTCAGCAGCCTTATCCGCCGCAACCTCGGCGTCAATTTTTTCCAGAGTGTCTTCAAGGTTCTTGTCAACAAGGATGGCATCAGCTGATTCCTTCTCATCAGCAACATCTTTGTTAACCTCATCGCCTTCCTCATCCTGAGTCAAGTCTAGGACTTGTTCATTTTGAAGAGGGGACTTGGCCCCATCAACATCTTTGGGTTTTCTCACCAAACCCTCATCCTCTTCCTCGTCACTATCCTCAAACTCAGATTCGCCGACGTCTTGACTTGGAGGTTGAGCTGGAGGGAATGGAAGAGGGATGGTATCGGCTTTCCTCAACGGTGAGTCCTTAGGGACATTGAGTTTCTTCAGAAGGGACATCTAACCAAGGGTGAAACCCTTGTTGCATGCCTACTTCACTTGAAGTTCATAGGCCTCAGTAACATCGGCCATACCTTAAGTGTACGCCTTTTCGTCAGCTTCTTTGATTTCGGCGTCCTTGGTGGCCAGGGCCTCCTGAAGCTCCTTTTCGGCCTGGGCCATTTTTTCCTCAGCTTCTCTCTTCTGAGACTCAGCCACTTTCCTGATGGCTTCAGCAGCCTCAGCTTTCTCTTTGGCATTGGTCTGAGCTTTTATTGCGGCCTCGGCTTGGTCCTCCAGTTTTTTCATCTTTGATTGAAGACCTTTGTTGGTCTTTTGGAGGGAAGAGAACTCCCTCTTCATCTCGACAAGCCTCTCCCGATTCTCAAAAGACTGCATTGAGAAAGAGTGGGCATGCTGGATGGCCTGAAAGAAAACAAAGGTATTAGAGAATGTTCAAAGTACAAAATAAAGAGAAAGAAAGAAGAGAATTACCAAACAGAAGACATCTACCTGAACGGAGTGCTGAAGCATTAGAGCGTAATTCTCATACTCACTGTACTGGGCGTTTCGCTCCAAATCGCCTAGTAACAGCAGAGCAGTGCTGAGCGCAACGCCGACGTTTATATCCTCGGCACTGTCACTTGCCATAACAGGCTTGTCTTCCAGAGTAATTGAGGGGGCCCAGGGGGCATCAGGTTTTTTTGATCCCGAGGTTGTGGTAGAGGAAGACCTTGGCTTTTTTGGGTTTTGGGATTCTGATGGTTAAGACTCAGAGCGCCTCTTTCCAGCAGAAGGCTGAGATTTATCACTCTCAGCTAACTTTGAGATCGGCAAGGTGTCTTCAGATTCAACCTGAGCTATTTTAGCCTTTGATTGAGCCTTCTTTATTCTTTTCGGCTTCAGTGGAGGTTGGTTTTGTGTTGGCTGCTCATCAATAGATAATGGAATACTGGCCAGAAGATCTTTTGCAGCAGGCTTAGGGCGACCCATCTTGGCAGTAAGGACAAGTCGTCGCCGACGTTTTCGTTCTGATATTGGGACCAGGTATGGAGCCGAAGTTGATGGCTGATCAGCTGGATCAGATGTTGATTCTTGATTTGTTCGTGATGTGGATGCAGTCAACGGAGTTGTAGCAGAGGGTGGAGAAAGGCTTTTCTTCTTCCTTTTGGGAACGTCGGGCAAAGTTGACTTGTATGATGGAATAAAATTGAGAAGCACAGGCGCTTTCCTTTTATGGACTGGTAAGTCCAAAAGTTTCTTCAAATCCTTGCTGGGAACAAAGGATTGGCAAAAATTTTTCGATGGCTAACGAACAGCTGCAAGAAGAACAGACGTCAGAAACAGACAAAGTATTTAAGACTTTGAAAGAAAACATGCAAAACTAAATACTGGGCTTTTACCCTTGCCCTCTAAAATTGATCGAGAAAGAGGGTAGAGATGGATGTCCTCGTCTGGAGCAAACTCCCAATTTCTCGAGGTAATGAGATAGTCATCTCCAGCCCCCTTATTGGAGTCTGGGAGGTCGGCTACGATTTTAAATTCTGTAGACCTCGGCTTAAGGTAATAAATGTAGCATTTTTCTTTCAAATTAAGGGCACACATGGTATAACAATACTGGATATCGGCTAGGGTGATCCTAGCATTTTCCTGTTTAGCGAAGGCTATGATGCCATTGATCACTTGGTAGGAATTGATTGCCAGTTGCATGGGGTTCAACTTATAATAGTGAAGAATCTCACGAAAAAGGATGTTGAGTGGGAGCCGGAGTCCGCACTCAGTGAAAGCTACAATGGGAAAAGGCATCGAATCATCTGTGGGCATGAGGGAGTCGTTATCTCCAGCAAGCCTCAGATGGACATCGGCAGGGATAGAAAATTCTTGCCTAAAATACTCAAGTTTGGTCAGGGTATCTACCCTATGTCTCCACATACCCATGATATCGGCCTGAACTAGAGAGGTTGGGTTTCAGAGAAAAAATGTCTTGGGAGGGTTAATAGGACCTCGGCAAAAATTTAGGTAGAGTACTAGTTTCAGTTTTTTCCTAAATCATGGGTTCTACACAACAAATCCCAAACCTAGATCTATGAAAGCAAGGGTTGAAGGCACGGATCTGGAAGATAGAAAGGCAAAGACGTGCTTTAGAATCAAGAACAGGAATGGGCTATCAAGAGCATAAAGAATACGAGAAATAAATGGTCAAGAATAGTAACAAGAGTGCAAGAAAGTGGTGAACAGTGTGTATTCAAGACTTGGGCAAAAACAAAATCATGAAATAGACACACTGAGATACATGATTCATGAAATCGAATACTTGAGCAAAACAGCAATGGCAAACAAGAAATAAAGAATATCAACAGAATTGAAAACACAAGGAACAGTGGCTTACCAGAAAAAAGTGAAGCCGGCATGAAGATTGTCGAAGTCAGACGACAGTAACGGATGCAATGAGAACGACGAAAGCTTCACAGGAAGGGAGAACGGAAAGCAATTGCAGAGCTTGAAGACTGGAACAATTGTGTATCTGGGAGCTAGAGAGAGAAAAAGCGAAGAGAAATCAAATGCAAAAGTGAAAAATGAAGAAAGGGGGAAAGGTTTTTGTTAAAAATTTGAAACGGCGGCAAAAACGTAATCAATACGCCTAAAAGAACGTATGCGTCAGACGGCGCACGTGAGAGAGAGACGGCTTGCAAGTGCGTCATGAGCACGGTCCAGTAAGGTGGAGACACCTGAATGAAACGGTTGAGTAAATGATACGTGACAACTCACACGCGTCAAAAAATTCACTAGAATTCTTGTTTGCTGAAGAAAACATGTCGGCCAGAAAAATGATCTTGGCTGAGGAATTCTTGAGCCGATGTACAGAAGGAAGTACCGATATAGGTTCCATCACCTCAGAATGTCGAGGTAATAGAACCTAGGGGGCAGTTGTAGGGATATATTTCTGAGTACCAACACGTGGCAAGGCGACGCCGATGTGTCAGCCGATGTGCCACGTGTCCTGGTCATTATGCCGAGGTTATCTCGACGTTGCTGAGGTTATTTCCGAAGATATCTCGGATTAACAGATAAGGTACAAGAGTCCTAAAATGAAGAGAAGACTTAGTCAAGATGAGGATAAATCCTTTAGGGAGTTTATCTTTATCTCTTAAGGAGTCCAAAGTAAGTACTGAATTGGAGTCTATAGAAGTGAGGCTTCTAGTGGGACTAGGATTAAGTAAACTATAAAAGAGAGGCACCTTCGTGGGTCTAAGGTACGCAATTTATGCTTTGAATAATGAGTTTAGCACTTGATTTATCTTTGAGAAATATACTGACTTGATCGTCGGAGTGCCCCCGGGTGGAAGAGCCACCGCCGGAGCCGTCTCTTTCTGTTACAGGTTAACTGAAGCCATCTATTCTGCCGGTGCTCTCTACCTGATTACTAAACGGGCAGTGTGACCAGAAAATCACTCACACAAAATATTACTTGTTTTTTTCACCATTTTGAATAATTGAATTGCATGGTAATAAATTATCAGTTGTCATTAATTGTGAAATAATTATATGTCGTATAAGAGGTAATATTAAACAGTAACAAAATATCAGTGATATATAACATTTCTCTACTATAATATTTATAAGAATTTTTTTTAGCATAATTAAACATTTAAAGTGACAAATTAAACATTTTTTTATAAAAAAATAAAGAAAGAAAGAAAATATTGATATAAAAATTTCAAGATATTATTTAAAAAGATTAAATTAAAATATATATTTTTATTAGAGACAAAAGAATAATTTTTCAAAAGTTGAGAGGGCACATGACCCCTCTAGACCTCGCGTGCCTCCGTCCCTGGTACCAATACTGATACTAAAACTCCCATTTCAAGACTTCAACGCTTCAACGCTTATAAACGCCAACAAACATGGTGAACAGAGACCCTACATATAATTTAGATAACACATTTAAAATTGGAGTAATTTGGTTCAAATTGAAAGTGTTAAAGATAAAATTGATTAAAATTAAACTTGAATAATCAACTGACACAAAACATATATAAAAAAGTAAAGAACACCGGAACATGGATATGAAAAGAGTACCCAAGTCGGAACACAGCACCAGGATCTGTAAAATAGACAATTTTGGATATCGGGTCAACATCCAAAGCATCAAGAAAGGCAAAGATCCTTCGACACCGGTGGCAAGTTGTGTTGCTAGTCCTCCACCAGCTCCGACCACCAATAAGCCAAAGTAAGGGTCAACGATGTAGAGCTCACTAGTCATATCGTTGAAACCCAGGCCTAATGGCCTTCCACATATTGATTCTAAGTTCTGGTCATTTGTGCCATCACACAATTCCTTTGTCCTGAGAACAACAGTCATGAGTGCAATAAATAGTCAGAAATACATTGTACTTCTAATTTTAACAGAACGGCCTCTGTGGAGCTTTTGCAACAATAATTTACTGACACAAAAAGATTGCATATTTGTGATAGCGTAAGCATCCCAACACATTGGAATAACTTAGCCTGCGTTTGGTTGTGTTTTGTAAATGTGATTTGAGAGTATAAGTTTTATTTTGAGTTTGTGTGTTGTAGAATTATGATTTGAGTGTAGAAAATTTGTTTGGTAAAGAGTTTTGAAAATAGTTTTGGAAAAGAGGTTTGATTTGAGTAGGGAATTGTTGATGTGACATTTAATATGTGATATAAAAATTTACAACTCATAACTAAACATACAACTCAAAATTATTTTAAAACACATAAAAAATTTTAAAAAATTCAGAAAATATTTTTCCCGAGTATGTAAATCAATTGGAAAAAAAAATTCTGGAATTCAGAGGACATCCGGGTGGACGTCCCCAAGGACATCCGGGTGGACTTCTTCAGGCAAAATTTTGACAAAAAACGCGGCATGTGCATCAGAGTTCTCTGCAGAGAGTGTAGAAAATTGATTTTAAAACCATAACCAAACATCATACTCAAACACAAGTGTAGAAAATTGATTACAAATCACAACCAAATAGAGCCTTAATTTTTCTCTCTAGTAGCGTAAATTTTTATATGAGTTTGTGGTCAATTATTTCACATAGGGTTTGAGCCATCACAAACAATATCGTCGCCCAAAAAAATGTGCAACAATTTTTGTAATTGCGAAAAAGCGGTTATTGCGATGGAAAAAAGTGCCATCACTAATATTCTCAGCACAAAATATCATTTTTCTAGTAGTGAGTACATGGTACTTTTAGGGCCGGTCATGAGTTTTTAAGAGCCTAAGGCAAAATAAAAACGGAAGCTTATATTCAAAAAGAAATAAAATCACCTTATTTTGTATCACTACCATCGATTGATACCAAAATAGATATCAAAATGTATTTATACAAAAAAAAAAAAAAGTTACCAAAATTAGGAAAACTTTAATCAATTAAAATGTATTGGATATGTGTTGAATTAATTGTTGTTTATTGAATATGTTGTTTATGAATGTGGTTGAATTGTTTATTAAATATGTTGTGTATGAATGTGATTGTGATTGAGATTGAATTAATTATTTATTCGAAAACAGGCATTGACAATAAATGCAGCCAAGAAACCAAGTGAGACTTGATGAATAGATCCAATCGAGTGACTATCACTCCAATATGTTGACGAATTGATCCAATGACATTAAATCCAATCCAGTAACTTATCATTTTGATAATGATGGGCCAATAAGCCTAAGTCACAGGATGTCTAATGATGATGATGCATATCAAAAAAAGAAAAAAAAAATCATTAATCTCCTTCCTTAAAAGCTACTTGGCAGTAACGTGTGTTACATTTGATAGACTTAGGCATTATTTAACATCTTCTATGCACTTTTATATATTTTTATTTTTTTAGGTTATATTATTTTTTTATAAAAAAATAAAATATAAATATTTATTTAGATTACTTCAAATACCTTTTAATAACTAATGGCATTGCTTAAAAAAATAAAAAATAAATAAATAAATAAAAACACTAGTGGCATGCAAGGGTGTAGTTGAGTTGATAAGACATGGAATTATAAGCAGAAAATAAGGTATCAACTGTACGCGGACAGAGCTCAATCAATAGACCACTTAGGTTGTTAATTTTTTATTTTTTTTATTGTCCAAGATTTCAAGTTTTTAAATGCCTAATCAAATAAAGTCTAATTTTAATATTTAGGCATAGTTTGGGAAGATTAAATAAGTGCACTTTTTGACTTTTTTTGTATTATGTGTAGAAAAAGTAGAGAGGAGATACTGATTGATGTGACCCAAAAAAGATAAAAAGATGAAATAAGTGCACTTTTTTCTTTGTAGTCAAATCTGGCCTTAGTCGTAGCTTTCAAAAATCTTAGATCGCTACTATCTCTACGTCTTTGGTTCAATTAATTTTTATTTTTGGACAAATTACATATGCCTCTTTGATGCTTAACAAAATTACAGATATCTCATTGAGATTTGAGAAATTACAGATACCCCCTTGAAGGTTATATTTGCATAACAAATTAGGAGGCAATTTGTTATGAAAATATAAACCACAGAGGGCAATTTGTTATGAAAATATAAATCTTAGGGTGATATCTGTAATTTTTGAAATCTCAAAAAGATATTTATAATTTAACTAAACTTCAAAAAGATATATATAATTTGCTCAAAAAAAAAAGAAAAAAAAGACAATTTAATACTAATTTAGAGCTACTCTTTCAGAGCTCTAAAACAATTTTCATAATAATAATCTCGAGACGCCTAGGTCCTCCGCCGATAAACACCAGGTGACACCTGGACGATGGACTACTACACCGCGCACTTTAGTCACACCCAATTCCAGCTGCCTAGCTAGTGAAGAGAGAGAGAAGAGTATAGCGCGGTCAAAAAAAAAAAAAAAAAAAAAAATCGCTAGCCGCCTTTCCATTTCCATCCCATTAGAACAATCGATCTCTCGAACCTGAACAACCAAACAAACAGCACAAATTCAAATCTCACTAGACACTGCCAAAAATCTCTGAATCTCGCATCGGTTCTTCTTTTCCCAGCTCGATCACGTCAATTATTAGCTCAATTCAAATCTGTTCCCTTCTCGATTTGTCCCTCTAGGGCTTCTACTTTTGGAAATCATGTAATAGACTCTATTCTCTATGCTCTGCAATCTGATTCATGGCTTCGATCCGCAGAACTCTCTCTCCCTACCATGATCGGCCTTACCAGAACGGAGGGACTCCGTTTTCAGTTCCATCGCCGCCGCAGCACAAACTTCTCTCAACCGGAAAATCATCCACATTCGCCGCCGGGTTCCGGCGATTCCTCGGCGGCGTTTTCCTCCCACGCTACTCCCGTAAAGGTCAGTTGTTAAAGAAATTGTTCTATAGGTGCTTGTTCTTCTTCTTGCTAGGGTTTTTGTTAGGTATGACTCCGTTTGGGAGCTTTGATGACGTGCGGAGTCATGATTTCTCGTTCGAGATCAAGCCTCCTCTGGCGAATGTTCAGGAGGATGTTGATAGCGTGATTGTGGCGAGGCCTGCGAATTTCGTGGATAAGGTTGAATTAGGTGTTGAGAGGAGGTTGAAGATGAAGGCGAGGTTCGATTTTGTGCCTAGGAAAGAGTTGATTGTGGTGACTCCGACTTATAATAGGGCGCTTCAGGCTTATTTCTTGAATAGATTGGGGCAGGTGCTGAGACTTGTTCCTCCGCCGCTGTTGTGGATTGTGGTGGAGATGAATATGGAGTCGATGGAGACAGCGGAGATATTGAGGAACAGTGGTGTTATGTATAGGCATCTAGTGTGCACCAATAATTCCACTGATTTGAAGGATAGAGGTGTTCATCAACGGAACACGGCGCTCGAGCATATTGAGCATCACAAACTTGATGGGATTGTTTACTTTGCAGATGATGATAATATCTACTCGCTTGAGTTGTTTGAGTCTCTCAGGGAAATCAGGTATTTCATTTGCTTTTGATTTTTGTAATAATTTCTGTTATTTGTGATCTGATTTTATAATAATCTGGAAGTATGCTTGCATTTGGGATATGTGCATCTAATTTGAGTGAAGAATAAGTGAGGGAAATAGCTATTAGATGAGAGATGATAGGTATTAGAGCTTGATTTCATAGGATTTACTAAGACATGTTTTGTGCCCTTAATTGATAATCTTTTTTTCCATCCCTTTTGTTCATAGAAACAGTTTGCTTTACTTATATTGTATGTCTTCCTTTCTTTGTACTTGCAATACGAAATTCAGATACACGACCACTAGGGGTGTCCATGTGTGGGTGTGAGTGTATGTGAGAGAAAGAGAGAGAGAGAAGGGTGTTTGGGAAATATTATAGAGTGGCAGGGCTAAGTAACCTTTTTATGTGGTTGAGTGTATATTGTGGGCTTTTGAAAAACTCGGGGATTACAGAAAATTTTGGGTGGTAACTAATGACCACATTTACAGTGAGGGCCTAAAGCATGCTATGTTTTAGCAAGTAACGTCACTTTTTAGGAGCCAAGAATGTGAACTTCTACCCCAGAAGGGGCTGCTCCTCTTTATATGTTATTAACTAGTTACTAACTACTGTAGATATGAAAAACTTATACCAATAGTATTATCACTCTAAAAATGCACGCATATACGTTTGTACAGATACGTGCATGCAAGAGCACGTAATATATCCTAGCGCATTGTTGTTGTACGTACACGTGGATTGTTGTTGCATATATGCCCTGAATGCCTTTTACGAAAATAATGGAGACATATTTTAAGTCAACTTTAGGTTTTAAGATTTTTTATAAAAAAATTTAAATGCTTGAGAATCCTGAAAATATTTCATGAAAATGTTGTAGTTGAATGAAAGAATTGAGGAATAGTGAGATTGCATGCTCCCTGTAGCTTGTGGATTATTGATGCCTGCCACCTATAGCCTGAAATCATCCTGTTTACTTGATTTGTTGTATCTATCTGCCATTTGTTTCTTAACTTGTAGTATTGCAATTTCCGTTCTTTGAACTACTTAATTGACAAGTTTCACTCATATAACCATTGTGGTTAAATCGTGAATCGTTTTGTTAATATAGTGAATTGTAAATTTATTTAATATAATAACATTTTCTATATATACATAAAAAAACACACATGTAATGTTTGATAATAGTCAGTTGGTTGAAACTAGCATTGAATCGTGTGAATTGAATAGTGAACTGCAAGATCTTAACAACCATGCATGTAATTGGTTTTTCCAATGTGTGTACTCTTGAATAATGAGCTAGTATAAAAACATACTGCATCAATAATTGAGTTGGCAATTGATTTTTTATCTGGTACTCACTCTTATTTCAACCATTTATTCGATAGCGCTATTTATATATTTCTTATGATAAAAAATTAAATAAATAGATGACCTTCAAGAAACCTTTTCAACTATGAATTGGTTTTTTATCTCTCTTTCTCTCTCTCTCTCTCTCTCACACACACACACACACACACACACACACACAAACACACTTGTCTGTGTGTTAACAAATAGCATGCGAGTGTAATTTGAGGTTTCAGACATAAGTTGCCAGTTTGAGGAACATTTAATAGGAAATGGCACGAAGATTGTAAGGAAAAGCAGTTTAAAAAATTATTGTAAGTGCTAGAGACTAGTCAAATCACTAGTGAACAATTTATGGTCACAGAAGAAATGTAAGAATTAAAATCAAAACACCAATTTTTTTTATTTAATGGAATTGAACAACTGATCAACTTATTTCTTTATTTTATTTTATTCGTGTTTTATCCTTCTGCAAATTTATTTTATTTACTCTTGATTTATAGCCGTTTTGGCACATGGCCTGTTGCCATGCTTGAATCAAGCAAAAACAAAGCAATATTGGAAGGTCCAGTATGCAACGGCAGTAACTTAATTGGATGGCACACAAATGAGAAGAGTAAAAGACTCCGAAGATTTCATGTTGACATGTCAGGGTTTGCATTCAACAGCTCCATATTATGGGACCCAAAGAGATGGCATCGCCCCACTTCAAATCGTATTCGGCAGCTAGACACTGCAAAGGAGGGTTTCCAAGTATACATCACATCATTGCATTTTCAGATATTATATTACACTACCATTTTGAAATTTTCTTAAAATTCTCATCTTCTTGAACTTGAAATGTGCAATTAATATTTACGACTGTTGACTTTGGCTTTCCACAGGAAACCACATTTATAGAACAAGTGGTGGAAGATGAAAGTCAAATGAAAGGTACACCCTTTGGTTGTTCAAGGATAATGAACTGGCATCTTCATTTGGAAGCTGGTGACCTTGTTTATCCCAAAGGCTGGCTGCTTCAGAAGAACCTTGACATCATATTACCGATCAAATGATCAAACTTCAACCCTTTGACCTCAATGCTGAAGAGCCAGGGAGAGGTTTGATTCATGAGTTTCGCTTATGCATTTTTCACCTTTTGAATATATACAATTCATGACCTTGTTGGTTAGGGGAACTGGGTATCTGCAGATATGAATTTGTGATTTGTTTTTTGGTTGTTCTGGGCAGTATGTGGTGTCATTTTAAGCTGGTGGGTCCCACGTCTCTGACCATACCGACAACACTGAGCGGATCGTCATGACTAGTTGTTGGCATACCCAGAATCAGCAATGCCAGATTTTATGCTGGCATATACTTTTAGAGGGAAGATCATGATTTTTATCGTAAATTTCTTTTCTTCCTCCATTAAATTCTTTGCAGAAACAAAAGTAATCGTCGCAAAGTTTTGGTGTTTGTCCACGGTAAGGGATGTAATTGCCTTCAAAATTTTCTTGAATAGAATTTGCTCCGCCTTTTCTAGTTGGTTTGGGTTTTGAATTATTTACCAAATACCAAGTGATACAGGCTTTGTATGAGATTGAGGAAACGCACAAAGTAGCTCGAAATTTTTTCTTTCTTTCATTTTTTTTTTTATGGTGAGGTATTCGTAAAAAATATCTTTGTTAATTGGTCAATTTTACTTTGTTGTTGCAACTGGGAACTTGTCAGTAGGATAATTGGTTCATCATTTATTTGATTTATTGATTTTATCATATGTACTGCATTTGATTTTTTATATTTTAAATCAAGTTCTATTCATCTGACATTAATGAAGTTAATGAAAATTGACGTGTGTGTTGCATAATATATTTCTTGCCTCAGTAGCACTATATTTTTATTAAATTCAATTTGGTCTTTTACATTTTTATGAAAATGTTACTTAAATTAAAAAATATCACATTTAGTACGAATGCCAATTTTTGTAATTTCATTATCATCAGATGAACATCAAGGTGATTGTAAAAAATTGTAAGATTAAAATTAGATCTTAGAGTACAAAATGATATCATGTTCTTCCAGCTTTGGTTTCGGAGAGTATATTTAAGTCAATCGTGTTCATGGTAGGCAATTTGAGAAAGACAAGTCCATTTCTTTTGTATGGCTCAAGTGTCAAGACGAGAACCATTCAATGGCATTGTCATACGTATATTGGTCGAGAGAATAAAATACTACCGAGTAAAAGCATTGCTCTTTAGATTTCTCAATAACACGACACAAGTAATTCAATAATATATATGATATATCATCATATGTTTAATAATACGATGCAAGTAACTCAATAATATATCACCATTTATATTGACTAGGTATATATATCTTAATTCTATTAGGCTATCTTTAACAGTTTATCAAATTGAAGTAAAAAAAATGGCGAATTTCTCAATCTAATATTAGTCACTCCAACTGTGAGTACTGTAACTTTCATTAAAAAAAACGTACTGAACGTTCAGGGGACAACCGGCCAATTGACAGGAAAGAGCAAAATGAATCAACAGAACTTCTATCAAACTTTAACCCCAAAAACAAAAATAAAAACAAATTAGGCCAAAATTTGAAGAATCAATTTTGATCAATGGAACAAAATCTCACAAGAAAACAAAGAAATACGTATAAAAGATGAGAATCAAACCATGGTATTGGCATTTTCGAAGCAGACCATCCAATAGCCTCAAACAAGTTTGGTCATCATCAACAGCAAGAACACACATACCCATAGGAAAGTTATCACTCTCATCCCTTAAATGCCCTCTAATTTCCTCTACAGTCATTTTGAAGAAATAATTTTCAAAACCTAGATAAGAACAGAGCTCAAAGAAAGAGATCACAGAACAAAAGTTTTAGATTTGAGTAATGAATTGAAAACTATGTTGTTTTGGAACTTTTTCACCAAACCCAGAAGACAAAGAAAGCCACTGATAGGAGGATTTGTGAGGGGCATCAATGAGAGAGAGTGGGTAGCACTAATGGTGACAGTTGAACATGATAACATTAGCACTAATGATCAGGCCCCGGCCTGAGATTTCTGAAATCTAAAGTCAATAATCAACTAATAAATTTTTGGGGTCCTTCATATTTTTTTTTTATTGAATGAAAAAAATGAAGATAAAAGACAAAATTTGTGGCAAAATCACAAAAAATACTTAGTATTACATTACAACAATTAATAAGTGTCATTTGATTCTCGCTCTTCTTATATATTTAGAAGCAAATAAATCAATTATACTTGCATAATCTAGTTTTTTTACAAAATCATTTTCAATGGATAACAATGCTAATTATTTTAAATGAGCATTTCAATTTTTTAATGGGTCAATTTATTTTAAGTTAGTTTGGGTCTTCCTTAATTTTTTTTAGATTTAAAATATACCTAATATATTACAATAAACTATAATAGGAGGATCATTTTTTGGGTCTATTTTCAATGAATAACAATGTTAATTTTTTTGAATGGGCCTTCTAATTTTTTAATGGGTCAATTTATTTTAAGTTAGTTTGGGCCTTCTTTAAATTTTTTTTTAACTTAAAACATACTTAATATATTACACTATACTATAATAGACGGGGCTCATTTTTTGGGTCTATTTTGAGGGGTCCTAGGCCATGTCCTTGTTGGCCCATGCCTAGGGCCGGCACTGCTTATGGTGTATAGGTAAAAAAAAAAAAATAAATAAAATAAAATATAGAGGTGGTCACCCGGGAGGTCAAACGGGCAGTCGATTGGTTAATGTAAATTTTTACAAATTATTGCCTTGAGGTAATTATCTGGAGGGACATCCGGTTGGACGTCCGGCCGGTCGTCCTATGGGTCACCACTCAACGACTATGCATAATAAATTGCTGAAAGATGCAAGACATCTTCAGTTTGGTGAAAGATTTGAAATGTTTTCAATTTGATACATATTTGATGAAATTAATAAAAACCAAAAAAATATATTTTTTTATCAAATTTAAATTTGATAATAAATTTAGTTAAACGTTGGAGATGAACTTGTGAATTATGATCACATGAAAGTTATATAAAAATGGTTAAAATGATATTGATGAATTGTTGCATTTAAAAGAGGTTTAAAACACCACGAGTCATAAAAATAAATAAACAAATAATTAAATAAAAAACCTAAAACAAGCGTTGCCCTCAATAAAATAAAAAATAAAAAATAAAAAGAGTAAATTAAACGAAATTCTTTTGAAGTTTTTAAAATATATAATAATTCACAATTTTAATATAATCATACAATTTGTTCATTTTTTTTATAATTTGAGTAAATGTACCGAAAATAATGCAGTGTTGTGAAAATATATAAATAAACAATGTAAAATGTATATTTTTGTGTAAGAAATATGATAATATTATTTTTTTATTCATATAACTGCCAAATTATTAATGAAAATAAAATATAAGTGTTATACAAATTAAAGGAAAAATTAGTAAAATATTCCTCTCAAACTTTGTATATAGGAGAAGTTTAAGATATTTTTTTTATTAGCTAAGGTTTCTCGATGAAATTTTTCGGTGATCATACTAGAAATTTTTTTAAATTTCTTCGTGATCATATCAAAGAAATTTTAAATTTTTTTTGTAAAAATTGAAATTTTTTTGTGTTGGGACCAAAATTTCTTTAAGTCAGACAAAATTTCTTTGGGTCAAATTTTCTCTATAAAAATATTGAGAGACCTTAACTACTATGAAAATATTGTATATCCTTTATTTTATAAAATTTTAATATCACGACCTTAAAAAAAATCATAAAATAAAATCACAAAAAATTTAATATAATTTTATGTTATATCAAAATTTAAATTGTACCACCTTAATATATTTTCTCCAAATTTTCAAGAGTTGTGTTAGGGTTTAGGGTAGACATTTTTTACCTAATAAAAAATTAAGTGGACATTGTTTCATCACTTTGCGATCCGAACCCCAAGCCGGAGCGGCCCGCGACGGAGCGGGGTTGATGCAGAGGCTGAAGGATGTTATGTCAAGAAGGTTCTGGATTATTCTGGATTATGGGTCAATTGAAGGAAGTTAGTTAGGTAGTGGTTGAGAGATTAGTTAGTCAGTCAGTTACATCAGTTATGAATTAGTTAGTTAGTTACCTCAATTGTGAATTAGTTAGGCAGTTAGAAGGGTGAGGCAAAGAAGTAGTTATAAATAATTGAGGAACTCCCATATGGGGGGTATGTAAAATTCTGAAAAATAATACAGCTTTTGTGCTTTCTTCCTTAAGCCTTTGCTTCTTCTTCCCTAGCTACTACATTGGTATCAGAGCCCCAGGTTCTTGGCCTGTTAATCCTCTGCTGCCACTATGGCCGACGGAACTAGAGCAGACCTTAACTACTATGAAAATATTGTATATCCTTTATTTTATAAAATCTTAATATCAATACCTTAAAAAAAATCATAAAATAAAATCACAAAAAATTTAATATAATTTTATGTTATATCAAAATTTAAATTGTACCACCTTAATATATTTTCTCCAAATTTTCAAGAGTTGTGTTAGGGTTTAGGGTAGACATTTTTTACCTAATAAAAAATTAAGTGGACATTGTTTCATCACTTTGCGATCCGAACCCCAAGCCGGAGCGGCCCGCGACGGAGCGGGGTTGATGCAGAGGCTGAAGGAGGAGTACAAGGCGTTACATTCGATGTCCACTAGGTATTCGGTGACAACCTGTTCTCCTCAATTTCTATGATCAATGGTGGTTCTATATTTTATGGTATATTCTGATGGGAATTTGTGGTGGTTTTGGGTTTTTTTCACACCCTGCTTTTCAAGCCTCTTTGGGGCGAATTACTGGTATGCTTTCTGATTTGTTTCCTTCTTATTTCTTGTTAATTGAATTCCAATTTAATTCTTCGAGGTTAAAGATTAATTGGAATTTTGCACTACATTATGAATTATTAACAAAGTCCTACGTGTTCTTCACTGAATTTTGGTTGCCATTGGTTTGCAATTCTATAATACTGTTGGTTTAGTTGGTTAGAAAATGAGTGGGAAAGAGAAAAACGACAACAAGAAAAAAAAAAAAAAAGATTTAAATTATATGTTCTATGTTGTTTGGGTTTCAATTCATGAGAGAAGTCACTTCAACTTGATCAAATTGTTGTAGTAGGCTTGACCAACTATTACATTTTCTTTTTGTCTTCTTTCATTTTTGTGAACTATTTTAGGTGCTTAATCATCGTCGAATAACTAAACTGTATTAGGTGTAAAAACTTAAACTTCAACATTTTTATTGGAATATGGATTAGATAAAAAAAGGATCAATGGTTTAAAAGGTTCTTATTGAGTCAAAGAGATTGTGATAACATGGGCACGGATACAAAACATGGCAATTTTGAAAAAAATTAGGATACGGACATGGCGGGTACGATAAAAATTTATTTATTTTTGTATATTTTTATTTGCTATGTATATGAGTATAAATTTAGGGCATAAAAATATAAGATGCATGAATGCATATGTGGCTGTACTTTTATTTTTCACTTTCCCCTCTCTTTGTTTTCATATGTATTATTTTCCCAAATCATCTTTCAAATCATCATGCCATTCTTTATTGTTTCTCTTTCCAATTTCTTCTTCATCTCCTTTTCCTAAACCCAATTCATCGAACTGAAAAACACAATTGTACATATATGTATACACATCCAAAAAAAAAAAAGTTGAATTTAAATCAAATGTGCCATTTTGATGGATGTTCTAAATTCTAATATTAACCTGAGCAGCTGGTGTTAGCAAGCACTGACAAAGCACGTTCCAACATTTTAGACCTACCACTTTCTTCTTTTGTAAGCATGCCATGCACTCTTGGGGGGTAGTATGCTTTTGAGCTATGAAGCACGGACACGGATACGGATACGGACACGGGACATAGCAATTTCCAAAAAATGGGGACACGGCAAATTTTATTTTATATATTTTTATGTGTTATGTAGATTTATATTACATTCATTGTAAATCAAAATTAACAAACGCTAACATAGTAACATTAATTCAACAAATATAACCACTACATTTAAACAAATTAGTAGATCATCCATTCACAAAAAAGTCATAATAAACGATAATAAGAACTAAGACGAGAAGGGAAAAACATTCAACATCCACCAATATTCTTCACAAAAGCATTAAATAAGAGAGACAAAAGAAGAAGAAAAAAAAAATAGCCCCACCGTGGCCTCTACAAAAAAACCATTAAATTAAAGGGACACACCATCTGGCATGTCCTGTACGTGTCCTCGGCGTGTCCACGTGTCGGACACTGCCACGGCACTGATTTGGAGTGTCCATGCTTCATAGCTTTTGAGTCTTGACTCACTTTGTTCTAGCTATTGAATTGAAATGATCCATTGCATGCAAATTGCTATTATATATCAATTGCTACAATTTTATAGCCAGGGATACAAGTACTTGACCAGTTAGAAACAAGAACAGTTTATGACTGTTGCAACTTGAAGTGCTTGCAGCAACATTGTGTTGCCTGCTGTGATGCTGATGATCCGATGTAGATGTATGGGACATGGGATATCTTTTTCCAGTCTGCTCCTCTGTCCTGGCATCTTTCCTCAAGGTCAGGAGAATCTCTAATGGACAAATGCTGGAGTGCATTGAGACGTTCTAGACCTTTTGGCAAACACTTCATATTCTGACAATCGGTGATTGCCAATGATCGAAGAGAAATGAGGTTCTCCACCCAATCTGGCAAATCCATGAGGTTTGGACAGCTGCAAATTTCCAGGTTCTGCAAAGTCTTGACATATTGTAGTCCTTCTGGTAGAGATGCCAGTACTTGACAGCTTAATATACTAAGACTTCGGAGTGCTGAGAGATGCTGCAGTTCATCGGGTAAATAGCGCAGATTTGGACAATACATGATTGTCAGGTGCTCAAGGGCTGTTAGTTGCTTTATTCCCTTTGGCAGAGAAGCCAGGTTATTGCAGTTCTCTATAGAAAATGATCGAAGGGAATGCAAGCCCCGAATGCCTTCCTCTGGCAAAGAGACTAAACTAGTACACTCCGTGATTTCCAAAGACTCCAAAGAGGTAAGGTTTCTAATTTGCTGTGGCAGACCAGATAGTTCTTCACACCAGCGTAAAGTCAATGACTTTAGAGCTCCAAGGTTTTTCAAATCCCATGGCAGTGAACTAAGTTGTTGGCAAGAGCTGATTGTTAAAGATGTAAGAGGACTGTTCTGCAGCAATCCTTGTGGTAGGTGCAATAGCTCTGGAAAGGAGTCAATAATAAGAGTGGAGAGTGAATTTAGCTCTGCTGCTGACCTGAGTATCCTAGCATTGCAGTTTCGCAGCTCCAAATGTTGGAGAGATGGAAACTGCGGCATGGTTTCGAGTCTAGGACATGCAATGATGGTAAGTCTCTGCAGGCAAGTCAAGGCATCTTGCGAATTCTCACTCTCCCATGCTTGTAAACTGGGAAAATCTTTGAGGGTTAGTTGCTCCAGTGAAGGAAATGCAGTCCCTTTGCCTTCTACACCGTAGAACTCACTACCAATGCTCACCACTGCATCTAGTCCTTGCATGTTTAGAACCTTGAGGAAAGGAAGTTGCCCGAGTGTAGGAAGCTTTTCACATCTTCTGCAGTTGTTCAAAACCAGCTCTGTAAGATTTGGAAGCATGATGTCATTCATCCATTGTGGAAATAGGACTCCCGAGTAACCATTTAGAATCAACTTTCTTAAAGTGTTGTTGGGTTTCAAGCAGTTGAGCATAGTCTCTGCGTGATTATGATTGGTATGATGCCCTTCTACAGGTTGCCTTGATGGATAATGATCTGACTTTGCGTCATCATCCCCCCATGATAATCCCAGTGAGTGAAGCTGCTTTTTCTCCAAACAAAGAACTGGTACTATACTACCAACATTCTCCAAATGCTTGATTTTCAACTCACCACGAAGATCTAGATGCACAAGTTGGAAAAGGCTCTCATCAAATGCAGGGCCAACAATAAAAACCGGCAAGGTCTGAAGATTCAGTAAACTTCTTATAGATGCTGGAGTACGGGTGAGTCTTGTGCAGTCCTTTATAATCAGATGTCTCAGGTTTGTCAGTCGTGTTATGCCATTTGGTAAATTCATCAAACTGTGACAGCCTGAGAGATCCAGCGTCTGCAAATTGCAGAGGTTCTGGATTGTATTAGGTAAAGTTTCCAAAAGGGTGTTAGAGAGATCGACATACCTCAAATATATCAACACACCAATTGATTTGTGCAGACTTCTGATCCCACACCCACTTAAATCTAGCATTCTGAGGTGTTTAAAGACTGCAGCTATGTTTGGTAGGGCTTTGACAGAGTCATTTGTCGGAGAGAAAAATCTGAGAGTTCTTAATTTCTTTGCAGCAAACAAAGCTTCAGGAACCCTAAAAGACCAAAAATTGCAGAATATTGTTGCATGGCGAGTTTGCTCAATATTACTACTTAGGTCTGATGAGTGATGAACTTGCGCCGGCTTGACAGAAGTATCATCGTGATCTAGCATCAGGAACTCATTACCAGTGACAAATTTTGCGAGGTCGTGAATGAGGTTATGCATTGTAAACTCTGTCTGATTGCTGTCATCATATTTATTTACTGCTTCAAAGAAAGACATCAACAGCAAATCGTTGAAATATTCGTTGCCAGTGTCCTCCATCTTCTTAGAAGAGAAGGTATCGTCAGAGGATTGAATCAAGCCTTCTGCAATCCACAGGCGTATCAACTTTTCCTTGCTGATCTCAAAATTCTTGGGCAATGTTGAGCAGTATGCAAAGCATCGTTTCAGATGTGATGGCAAATGGTTGTAACTCAACCTCAAAGCCGAAAAAATTCTGTTCTTTCCTTCATCCAGATTCCATAGTTCGCTCTTCTGCACATGTAGCCACTCACTTTCCTCCCTTTTGAAGCGCATCAAACTTCCAAGAATCTTGGCGGCTAAGGGCACCCCTCCACATTTCTTGACAATCTGTTTCCCTATTGGCAGCAAGTTTGGATAGCCTCCCTCTTCTCCCAACTCAAAAGCTCGTTGCTTGAACAAAGTCCAGCATTCATCTTCGCTTAGAGCTTCCAACGTGTAAGGGTGCATTGTTTTCATTATTGATGAAACTCTTTTGCTGCGGGTGGTGATTATAATTTTGCTTCCACCTGCACCATTTCTCAATGGATATCTCAATTTCTCCCATTCGTCTTGATCATCGGTCCATACATCATCCAACACAAGAAGGTATCGCTTCCCACACAATGATTCAAACAGTTGAGACTGTAGTACACCTATCTGTGAGGACTCATGGTTTTGTTTAGTTGTGTACTCCAGAATTTCATTTATGATCTTTCTTGGATTAAAATTATCATACACTGACACCCATATTCTTAGATCAAAATGACTTGCCACCCTTGGATCGTTATATGCCAATTGAGCAAGAGTTGTTTTTCCAATTCCCCCAATTCCAACAATTGGAATTACTGAAACACTGACCGTGTCAGTGTTCGTGGTGGCCAACAGTAAAATATTTACTATTGCATCCGCGTCCTTTCTTCTACCACAGACCTCTGATTCATCTATATGAGGTCCTGTTTGTCGTCGTTCTATGATATCAGACCGCTCATACACCATTCTCTCCCTGAACTGGAAGTTAGACGTCTCTCTTGCTATATCATCCAACCTCTCTTGAATCGTTGTCAGCTTACGAGGCATAACATAGTAGTTTGAAACAGGCTCAAGAGCTAAGCAAACAATAGGTACCTTCTTTTTCTTCGTCTTTCTTTGGAGAAACTGGGTGGTGACCTCGTCCAGAAGGTCATCAATGTCGTAAACCACATCTTGAAGCTTTCTCAGCCAGACCTTCACCTTCTTATCCTTGAGCTGTTGTTCTTCTGCATCTTCGATGACTGCTCGAATCACAGGCAGTGTAGCTTTCAGCTTCTCGAGCTTTTTCCGGTAGTGGCTGCTGAACTGAAGCTTCATCAGAACCTGTGAAGCAAGTTTTTCGAAGATCACCTGTAGAAGGGGTGATATTACTATTTGATCCATGGCAAAGCTTTTGCAAATTTTGGGTTTTCTGTTTGGTTGCTGTGAAAACAAAAGCAAGCGATGAAGCTCTGTGATTGACAGGGTTAGTGCTATCATTCTACCAGGGAAATTGCTAATCTTCATCTTTGTAACTTCCTGGAAATTATCAATAAGGAGTATGGGATTGGTCATAATCATAAGCACCAAAGTCTTTGGACGTTGCTGGGAAATTTTAAATTTTTATTTTCTGAAGAGTAGACTTTTCTCCAGTCATGGAGGTTGATTGGACAGTCCAGTCCGTCATTTTGTCAAGAGCCGTGGTGTTGGTTTTGATGATCTGAACCGGATCATTTTTTTCACATGTATATAGATTATCCATGAAAAAAAGTCAATATGATAATCCTAGTCATATATTTTTTTATATTTGTTTTAAACCAAAAAGATAGACAGAGGTATGATTTTGATAGTATTGCTAATCTTTTTGAAAATAAATATAATGAAATCATGTGGCTATGATTACTGGATAGATAAATTTTTTTTAATGGATCTACACACAAAACTAGGAAATGATTAGATTGTATCATCAAAACCACAGATGAGGCGGTGACTGTTGCTTCTCTCCTACTGTCCGAAAGAAAGAAAACAAAATGATATATATGTTTTATAACATGAGTCTAATTGATCTCATTTGTTTTCTAAACATTCTTGAAAGTTTTCTACCATGTACAGGATATCGAAAAGACTTGGATTAAATAATATTTCGAATCATGAAATCAACTAATATATAATTTGGGTAGAAAGGGACTACAACCCATTAATAAAATCAACCAAGGAAACTTCTTTCAGCTGAAAGTCAGTACTTGAAATTGTGAGGGTTCTGTGCAGAGAAACTTTTGTGCATAAAACAAAAAAACTTTGCAATAGTCTTTGGCCAATGTTTCTGCTTATACACATTCATCGATTTTTGACTTTTTGGGATTTGGCACTCAACAGACTTGGAGCATTTAGTGAGCTCTTTTACCTAAACTAATGTTTAGCTTGCCTTCTTGTCTTTGTTGTCCAAATTAGAAACTGTATAGCACACTTGCTCTCTAAAACACAGACTTTTCTTCTTCAATGCAACGACACTTGACAAGATTTCAGAGTTCATGTATAGGAAACATCTTTGTTCCTTCTATTTTTATTTGTTTTGAAAAAACAATCTGTTCATGGTGTAATTTGTTGGATATTTTGTTGTTGATGCTAAGTAAAATTTTGAGATTGATTTGGATTTGTTATTTTTTTAAGTGAGATCTATATTTAAGTACAGGGGTCGGTTGTTCAAGCATAAATTATTATATGGACCCAAACTATCTCTTGTTTGCTCACCAATCGTTCAATAATTGTTCCGTTTTAGTTTTTTTATTGGAGTAGTGTACTACATAATTCGCTGGTAGTATATAGAATTTTTGCATAAGAATAATGTGATAATGTCATTTTTATTATTAAATGCATCTTCAATGGTCCATTTGTTCTAAATTGATAGGTTCAAGGCACGGCAATTTGAGAGAAGACACTTGCAAAGTAAGTGGGTTTTGAATTATTTTCCAAAACACCAAGTGATACAGGCTTTATAAGAGGTATTCGTAAAAAAATATCTTGCTAATTCGTCAATTTTACGTTGTTGTTACAACTGGGAACTTTGTTGGTAGATAATTGGTTCATCATTTATTTGATTTATTGATTTCATCATATGTACTGTATTTAACTTTTTATATTTTAAAAATTAAGTTGCGATATTACTTTTCTATTGATCTAGTGTTAATAAAATTGATGAAAATTAACATGTGGCATACATAATATATTTCTCGCCTCAATAGCACTATATTTTTGCTAAATTCAATTTGGTCTTTTACATTTTCATCGCAAAAAAGTTACTTAAATTAAAACAAGGTAATACTGAAATTTGACTTCAATTATAAGAAGATGATTATAAAAAAGGGTAAATTATAACTTAACCCCCTGTGGTTTACCCAAAAAACACGGAGCCCCCCTATAGTTTCATTTGTAACACTTAAACACCTTATACTTTATACCAAAGTGCAATTTTGGACGGACGTAACAGAAATTGTAAAAAGTCTAAATTACCCTTATTTATTTCTCTAATTTTCTTCTTAATGCCATTATAAATCACCAGTCAACAAATTGAATCTATCATTGATAAGTTAACATGTAGACACTTGAGGAGAAGGATAAATGGTGAACCCAAGCTTTGACTTCTCTCTCTCTCTCTCTCTCTCTCTATATATATATATATATTATATATTTTCTCTCACCGTGACCACCATCATCACCACCATTGCCCAGCTTCGTCAAAACCAAGAACCATTTTTTACAAAATGCTATAGATGAAGCAACAGAAGAGAGTAGATGATGAAAAAGAAGAAATAGATTTTGAGATGTTTCTTTGAAATGTGTGACGTTAGTTTTCGGACAACTTTCGGCATGCCGAAACCACCCATTTCAGAAAGAAGTGAGAAAATGAGGTAGCGTAGGATGAAGTATAAAGCAAGGTGAGGAGATTGGTTGAAGAACATGATAAAACCGTTAAGAATCGCGAAAGTTATGGAGTCCGAAAGATGGGCCGAAGAAATGTCGAAAACAGGAAGAAAAAGTGGGGTTGGTTGGTATGAATCCCATCAATGCTATTTCAAAAATCTAAATGTTTACATATATTAATTATTTGAATTCATGGGTTGGATTTGTTACTAATTTGAATTATAAGAAGAAAAATGGGTTTGGATAATTTTTAGTGAGAGAAGTTGTGGTGGTAATTTTGAGTGGTGGTTTTGCATGGAATAAGAAGTTGGTTGTGGATAATTTTTAGAGAGAGAAGTTGTGGTAGTGATTTTGAGTGGTGGTTTTTCATGGAATAAGAAGTTGGTTGTGGATAATTTTTAGAGAGAGAAGTTGTAGTGGTGATTTTAAGTGATGGTTTTGCATGGAATAAGAAGTTGGTTGTGGTTTTGCATGAAATATGATGGTGGTGATGTTGGTTGGTTGTGATTTTGCATGAAAGGTGATGGTGGTGAGATAAGAGGGGAAACAAGAGGTGACGGTGGTGAAGGTGATGATGATATTGTATATTTATATAATGAGAGAGAGAGAACTTGAGGTAAATGAAACAAACAAAAGGATATTAATGCTTTAGGTAAATGGAACCCATGCTCAAACCAATGCTCAAAGGATGTTAATGCTTGAGGTAAATGAAACCCATGCTCAAACACTGAATTTTGTTTGGGGATAAAGATGTTAATGTTTCGCTAAGAATGTAATCCAAGCTCTATTGCACTACACCATTTTGTGTATATATATGGCAATAAGGGTGTTTTGATCATTTGCTATATGTTTTTGGGAGGGAAAAACTGTTCCACTCATCATTCATGATCGTGCAATACACGTTCTGTTTAAATAAATAGTTCTGTCGAAAATTGCACTTTGGTATGAAGTATAGGGGTTTAAGTGTTACAAATGAAACTATAGGGGAGCTCCGTGTTTTTTAGGCAAACCACAGGGGGTTAAATTATAATTTACCCTTATAAAAAAATGATAAAGATTAAGTAAGATCTTAAAAGTACAAGACGACATCTTCTTCCATTCCAGCTATGGTTTCGGAGAGTAGATCAAAACATCTAAGTTGTTATGAAAATTAGCTATTTCACTTAATTTTTTAATTATTTTAATAAAAAAATATATAAAAAAAAATTAATTGAATTTTTTATAATAATTTTTTAACCTTTTAATTATTTTAGTATGTTACCAAACTTGTCAATTGTCTTCCAGGCAATTGAGAACAAGATGAGTCAATTTCTAGTGTATGACTTATAAGACTAAGAGCATGTCCAGTAAGGATAGTCAAAATAGCTATTCAAAATTTTACTTTACTATTTTAGTTAGTCATTTTTTTAATATACATTCTAATAAGGCTATCTACTTTAGCTATCTTCTATTAAAATATTGTTAGAACATCTCGAGCAATCCTCACCAAATTAACTATCCAAAATTTCACTTTATTAATTTAGATAACCATTTTTTCAATACACATTCGAACAATACTCTTTACTTTAACCATCCCCTTTAAAATATTATTTCTTTCAACTTTACTCATATATACAAACACATATAAATATATTATTATATAAATTTATAAATAGTTTGATCATCAACTTCTTACTGATTATGCAAAAGTCATTGCGAAGCTTGAAGTTGCCAGAGCGAAAGTAAAGGTGTTGAAGAAGAAACTCAAGTTTGAATCGGAATAGAACAAGGAACAAGGTTTGAAATGGAGAGAGAGAGAGAGAGAGAGAGAGAGAGAGAGAGAGAAAGAGAGAGAAAGATGAAGATGAGATTGTATATGTACATATATGTATATGTATGTACACATATAAAGTTTGAAATGGAGAGAGAGAAAAGAAGAAGATGAAGATTGAGAGAGAGGGAGAGAATTGGGGTTCCCCTGAAATGGAGAGAGAGGGAGAGAAGAATAAAATGAAGACGGGGGTATAATTGTCAATTTTCAACTTCTGTTAGTAGAAATTAGTGTGTGTTTTAGTCCATCAACCACAAGGGGGTTATGTAGTAATATTTGAACGTTAGGAGAGGTAATCTGCAAATGGCCAAAACCATAAAGGGGTAAAGTGAAGTTTGCCCTAATATATATATATATATATTTAAATTTCAACTTTATAAATTTATAAATTTCAACTTTACTCAACTTTACTTTAACTATCCCCTTTAAATATATATATATATATATATTAATTATTTCTTTCAATGACACATAGGGAAAAAGTAATAAAAAAAAATATATAGCACAACAATAGTTCCTCGCTTCAAGTAGCTAGCAACTGTTGCTTGTATCAAATTGTTAAAGCATCTAATGAGGTTGTTGGAGGTCTTTTTTTATGATTTGGCTTGCTATTTTGGTTGAAAATAGGGTATAGCAAGGCTCTTGGAGATGCTCTTATACTTTAACTACCTTCTTTCCCATCTTCAAAAAAAAAAAAAAAACTAATTTCTTTCAAATTATTATTTTTTTCATTCTTTTAAATATAATTATATTTTGGTGAAAGTTACATTTTTCTACTGTCGTATTTTTCAAACGGTCATATTTTTCTAACGGCCATATTTTTTCAACGGTCGTGTTTTTGGATCGGTCATATTTTTCCAACGGTCATGTTTTTTTACTTTTCAATTATAAATAAGATATTCCCTCTTATTTGATCTTATCCTCAACTCAATTTTTTGCTTAATCCAAACTTTCATATCTCTCTCTATGGCTTCCAATTCTCTTTATGATTTCCAATTCTCTTTATGATATGCTTGTAAATAACTCTGACTTCTTTGAATCTGATGATGATTTGGAGATGCTCAAAGCTGTTACAATGGATGAAGAACTACTAGATAGTGAGCTAGGATCAAGCTCACGTTGTGGTTCTATTCGAGGTCGTAAAGTCATTCATTGTGACATATTCAAGGTCATAAAAGGCTTTTTCTCGACTATTTTGTTGAATCGCCTGTATATCCTCTTGAGCTATTTCGAAGGAGGTTTCGGATGAAGCGTTCACTTTTTCTTCGAATTCAAGCTGCAGTTGAAGCGCACGATCCATACTTTCTCTAAAAAAGAAATTGTGCTGGAAAGCTTGGTTTGTCTTCTCTTCAGAAGATAACTGTTGCACTCAGGATGCTTGCTTATGAAGTAGCTGCTAATTTTATGGACGAATATGTGAGAATTAGAGAAAGCATTGCAATAGAAAGCTTAAAATATTTTGCTAAAGCAGTTGTTGATGTTTTTTCTAATGAGTATTTGAGGTCACCAAACAACAATGACATCGCTAAACTGCTAGTGGTTGGTGAATGTCATGGATTTTCTGGGATGTTGGGGAGCATTGATTGTATGCATTGGAAATGGAAAAATTGTCTGACTAAATTGAAAGGTATGTATACTGGTTACATTCATGAACCAACAATTATTTTGGAAGCTGTTGCATGATACGATCTTTGGATTTGGCATGCATTTTTTGGATTATCCGGGTCTTATAATGATACAACGTGTTAGAAAGGTCTTTTGTATTTACCGAACTTGTTCAAGGGTGTACTCCTGTAGTCAATTACATAATCAATGGTAATGAATATACAATGAGATACTATCTCGCCGATGGTATATATCCACAAAGGTCAACATTTGTGAAAATAATTCCTTCTCCTCAAGGAAATAAGAAAAAACTTTTTGCTACACCTCAAGAGGTGACAACAAAGGATGTAGAGCATGCATTTGGAGTGCTTCAAGCACGATTTGCAATTGTGTGTCGACCGGCACGTTTTTGGAATACTAAAATGCTTAAATATATTATGAAGGTGTGCATAATTCTACATAATATGATCATTGAGGATGAGCGGGATGACAATAGAGTAAAAGACTTCAATTATGATCAAATCGATGATAGTCCCCATGTAAAAATGTTACAGGAGAGA